AAAAAAAAAAAAAAAAAAAAAAAAAAAAAAAAAAAAAAAAAAAAAAAAAAAAAATAATAATAATAAATAAATAAAAGAAGAGGAATGTACCAAAGAAAATTTCAGCTAAATAATGTAACAAAATAGTGATGGTTTTCTTGATATCACAAAAATAAAAGATCGACCACTAATATCTAATCTGACAAGAATCAATTTTAAGTATATACATCACAAGGAATCAAAACATTAAATGGGACAGTATCAAGCAAATACATCACAAGGAATCAAAACATTAAACGGGACAGTATCAAGCAAAAACATCACAAGTAACCAAAATGCAAACAAACAATTACAAATATTTAATGTCAATATACAAATATCAAAACAAATCACAATAAATTAATAAAATAAAGAAAAAGGGAATATGAAACTCCACTAAGATGACTGATTAAAGAACACATACAAAATTTGGCAGACCACATAAAAGCAAAAGGCAAACAATACTTCAAAAACAACACTAAACAAAATTAAATCGGGCAGATGCATCACAAATAATCAAAATTCAAACAAACAATTTTAAAGATTTAGAATCAAAATTCATAAGTAATCAAAATGCAAACAAATCACACATATGTAGAATCAATATACAAATTGAACAAACTGTAATTAAAAAGCATCCCACCATCTTCCAACTCATACAAGTGGAGATAATAAAATGGGAAAAATAAAAGGGAAAATAAAAGTTTAATAATAAAATGAAAAGACCGTATGTGTTTTGAAAAAATCAGCACACGACTGGATCATTGCCTTTTCTTCCTTCAATATTGTACAAACAAGCCGTAAGTGCTAAAAGATGAGATATGAGATACTGTCCTGTATTATCAATATATACCACAGCTTATTAACTAGTATAACTGAAATTTGATTGTTTGTTATTGATGCAACATTTGAGTTGCCTTCCATATATGCAAGAACAATAATCTAGTTTTCACTTGAGGATACATAATAAATAAAATAAAAACTCACATAAATATCAGACAAAAGTCATAAAAAATAATCTATAATTTTCATAAGAAATCAAAATACTAAACAAGACCCTACCAAGTAAGAACATCACAAATGATCGAAATTGAAACAAACAATCACACATATTTAGAATTAATGAATAGAGAACTATTGAATTAATGAAATTCCACTAAAATTACCGATTAAAGAACTTACAGACAAAAGTTACAAGAGCACAAAAGGCAAAAAGCAAACAATACTTCAAATTCTTAGTAAACAAAATTGTATCGAGCAAAAAAATCAATAACAATCAAAATCCAAACAAACAATTTCAAAGATTTAAAATCAAAATTCATAACCAATTTTAGAGATATTTTACCGAGTAGAAGCATCATAAACCAAAAAATCTACAAACAAAAGTCACAAGACAACCTATCGAACAGACAACATGCATGAAAAAATAAAAATAAAAATCAAACACTTCAAATTCAAAATACAATGAGATATGAAAAAAATGTAAACAACATGAACAAAGACATCACAAGACATAGAAAGAAAAAGGAAGAATATATAACAAATAACTCAGATTACAGTTGCAAGTGGAAAAATATGATTGACAAAGTAAACAATATGCACAAAAAGAAAGAGAAAAAAAAAACATAAATATCACAAATAACATGAAAAAAAAAAACGAAAGAAAAAAATAAAATATTTCGAATTCAATAATAAATGAGATTGTTCTGAGCAAACCCATCACAAACAATCAAAATTCAAATAACTAATGACAAAAATTAAAATAAAAATACAAATATTAAAGTAAACTATAATAAATTTATAAAACGAAAGAAAAAAATGGGAAGGACAAGACAAACTAGCAATTAACGAAATTCACATACAATAAAAAACCAACCAAAATAAATTATAAAAAAATGAAACCCACGAATCAAAGAACACCCAAACAAAAGTAACAAAAGCAAAAAAACAAATAAGCATATCGAATGTACTACAAAACGAAATCGTACCATCATAAGTAATCAAAATTCAAATAACTATAAAACAAATTTAATTTTATAGTAAACAAGTATTTATCAATCTCCAGAGGATTCGGCCGATAGAAGACTCAATAAAGAGAACACGTAGGCCGAAATGAGAAGGCCAAACTTTCTTTTTAATCAACCATTAAAAATATTAGAATATCATAAAAAAATTCTATTTAAAATATAGATTAAAAAATTAACAAACAAAAATATGATGGACAAATCAAACACTAAAAAATATGCACGAAAAGAAAAAGGAAAGAAGAAAAACAATCACAGTTCAAATTCTATATTAAATAAGAATTATAGAATCATAAACAAGCAAATTACAAATATCAAAACGTGCAACAAATTTTTATAAAATTAAAGAAAAAAAAAAGGAAAAAGAGAAAATTCCTTTGATAAAAATACATGCACATACAATAAAAAAAAACAAATCAATATAAATAAATTAAAAAACAAAAAAAAACAAAAAAAAACAAAAATCAATAAACCATATCAAATATAATACTTAACAAAAATGTAACATTAAATAAAATCAAAATTCAAATGAACAATTATAAAAATTTAGGATAAAAATATAAATATAAAAATGAAAATGAAGTAAAAAAAAATAATAATAATAACAAACCATAAAACAACTCAAATTCTATTGAAATTACATAAAAAATCACCAGATGCAAAAGAAAAAAAAATGTATATCTTATCCATCATTATCTTATAGATTAAAGAACAACCATCTCAAAAGCAGAAATTTAAATATAAAAAAGAACCAAAATACTAATCACGTCAAATATTATAAGTAATCAACATTCAAAAGAATAAACCATCAGAATATTTAAAATCAATATACTCACAAACCCAAATAAATTTATAAAATTAAAAAAAATATTTCAAAACATGGAATTATTAAAGAAGACAGCTGATAAACTCATAAATAAAACACTTAAAATTTAATATTAAACGAGATCATACCAAACAAAAGAATCATATAGAATTAAAATTCAAACAAACACAAACCATCATAAGGATTTACAATCCATATACAAATATAAAAATAAACCACAATAAAGAACGCACACACAAAAGTCATAAGAGAAAAAAAAAAAAAAATTTACAATCCATATACAAATATAAAAATAAACCACAATAAAGAACGCACACACAAAAGTCATAAGAGAAAAAAAAAAAAAAATTTACAATCCATATACAAATATAAAAATAAACCACAATAAAGAACGCACACACAAAAGTCATAAGAGAAAAAAAAAAAAAAATTTACAATCCATATACAAATATAAAAATAAACCACAATAAAGAACGCACACACAAAAGTCATAAGAGAAAAAAAAAAAAAAATTTACAATCCATATACAAATATAAAAATAAACCACAATAAAGAACGCACACACAAAAGTCATAAGAGAAAAAAAAAAAAAAATTTACAATCCATATACAAATATAAAAATAAACCACAATAAAGAACGCACACACAAAAGTCATAAGAGAAAAAAAAAAAAAAATTTACAATCCATATACAAATATAAAAATAAACCACAATATTACACACTAAAGTCATAAGAGCGAAAAAAAAAATATATATATATAAAAATAAACCACAATATTACACATTAAAGTCATAAGAGCGAAAAAAAAAAAAAAAAATAATAATAATACTAAAAGGAAGTATCACAGAAATCAAATTTCAAAGAAACAAGCTAAAATCAAAATACATTTAAAAAAAAAACACAATAAATCTATAAACGAAAAAAAAAAATAAAAGAATGAGAAGGGAAAGTTGCAACCCATTCAATACACAAAAATCGACTAGAATTATAAATTAAAGAACTCAGAAACAAGAGTCACCAGAGAGAAAAATTAAACACTTCAAATTCAATATTAAATGAGAACGTACCAAGTTCGCACACAAGAAATCGATATTCAAACAAACAAACACAAAAATTTAAAATCAAAATACAAATATACTAGAAAAGACGATACCAACCACTTATATCACAAGTAATCAAAATTCAAACAAACAATCACAAAGATTTATAATCAAAATACTAATTTATGAAATGAAAGAAGGAAAAAGGAAACACGAAACAACAAACTATTAAACAAGACGTGAATCTTAAGGGTATTGTTTTGAATATAAACCACAAAAGCTTAATAATTAGTATAACAAGAAAGATTAAAGTTTAATCTTTAAATAAAACACTTACTTGTTTGAAAACATTAGTGCTCAACAAGATCATTACCTTATCTTCCTTCAGTGTTGTAGAAACAAGACGTGAACCTTAAGGGAAGATAATGTTCTGTATATAATCCACAAAAGTTTAATAATTAATATAACAAGAAAGATCAAAGTTTAATGATTAAATAAAACACTTGTTTGAAAAGATTCGTGCACGACAAGATCATTATTACCTTATCATCCTTCAGTATTGTAGTAACAAGACGTGAACCTTAAGGGAAAATATTATTCTGTGTATAAACCACACAAGCTTAATAATTAATATCACAAGATCAAAGTTTAATAATTAAATAAAACAATTACTTGTTTGAAAAGATTAGTGCACGACAAGATCATTACCTTATCATTCTTCAGTATTGTAGAAACAAGATACTATTCTGTATATAAACCACAAAAACTTAATAATTAGTATAACAAGAAGAGGAGCAATAATCTAATTTACATTGGAGAATACAGACAAAAACAAAGGTTCGAATGTACCAAAGAAAACTAGGATCAAGCAAACAAAACTTGAAGTATCAAATCCTGGGCTCTTTAAGAATCAGAAAAAACACAATAAACATAAGATCACGAATAGAAAAACAATAAAAAAAAATGTTGATATCACTAAACCAATATCGAGTGATGAGTTGTGTGGTGGTCCATATTCAGTGGATATAACCTGCAATTAGAACACAGTTAAATTAACATAATATCGAGGAACTAACATTAACCATTAAAAAGAACTAAAATATTTTATAGCATACTGCTATTTACAAAATGTCAACTATAATTATAACTATTTAATTACTAAATAATACCATTTTCTCTAAAAATTTACAACAAAGTAGGTAAAAGAGATTTTAAGCAAGCTTCGAATAACATAATCTACATAGATTTCAGTAGTGGGTAAAGTTGGCACTCACAGATAATATAGATGGTCCATCTTTGAATTTCTTACGGCGGTTGTGACTTTGCAAATCCGTCTTTAATAGCAAGAGAGTAACAGATTCGAGTTGAACATATGACATGAACAAACAAGGCTATATGTGGCAAACAAAACATCAATACAATAAAAGACATCCTAGCACCATCATATTTACAAAATTATACAAAGTTGTAACAATTCGTCCAAGACCCTTCAAGCACACTAAATGTTGATTGTTTTCTTGATCATCATAAAAATAAAAGATAGAAACTATCAATAACCAAACAAACAAAAACCATTTTCAAGATATTTATAGAGGAAAAAAAAAAACTTAGAAAAAAAAATAGAAATATCAAAATACTAAACCAAAGAATTCACAAACAAAATTCCAAGCAGAATCATAATAAACATCACAAGATATCAAAATACTAAACAAGACTGTACCAAGCACAATTAATATAAAATACAAACAAACGACAAAGATTTAGAATTAATCTATAAATATTAAAATAAACCACAATAAATTTATAAATTTTTTTTAAAAAATAAAGTATTAAATAATAACCAAGAATGAAACTCACTTGAGATTATACATTAAATAACTAATAGCAAAAGTCAAACAAACAAAAAAAACATTTCAAATTTAATAATACTAAACAAAATTCTATTGAGCAAAAGCATCATACTCAATCAAAATTTAAACAAACAATATCAAACATTTAAATTCAAAAAATATATAAAATTAAAAAAAACCACAAATATCATAAGAAATCAAAATGCAAACAAACAATGTCCGAGCAAAAATATCACAAATAATCAAAATACAAACAAAACAATTAAAGAAAAAAATGAAGTATTAAAGAAAGTAGCAAATCATTGAATTAATGAAACTCCACTAAGATTACAAATTAAAGAACTCATAGCATGAATACTAAACAAAATAGCAACATCAAACAATCAAAACTCAAACAAACAAATGTCAAATATATAAAAATAAATTAAAAAAAAAAACCACAAACATCACAAATAATCAAAATACAAACAAACATCAAACAAATGTCAAAATCAATATATATATATATATATATATATATATATAAATTAAAAAAAACCCACAAACATCACAAATAATCAAAATACAAACAAACATCAAGTAAAAATATCACAAGTAATCAAATACAAACAAACAAAATTCAAACAAGAAATGTCAAAGAATCAAAGTTCAAACAAGTAATGTTAAACATTTAAAATCAAAATATATAAAAAGAATCCATAAACATCACAAGTAATCAAAATACAAATAATCATCAAGAAAAAACATCACAAGTAATTAAACACAAACAAACAATTCCATCACAAATATTTTACCAACCACGATAAGGTATGAAATAAAGTAGCAAACCATTAAAACTAAATGAAAAAAATGTATTAAATAAAGTAGCAAACTAATAAATTAAAAAAAAAAATCACTCACATTGCAAAGGAAAGAATTCATAGTAAAAGTCATCAAAGCACAGAAAACAAAAAGCAAACAACACTTCAAATTCAATACTAAACAATATTGTACCGAGCAGAAGCATCATAAATAATCAAAATTTAAACAAATAATGTCAAAACATTTAAAATCAAAATATATAAAAAAGAAACCACAAACATCACTAGATATTAAAATACAAAGAAACAATCACCAAACTAAAACATCACAAGTAATCAAAATACAAACAAAACTATTACAAAATTTTAGATAAGTTAGGAAAAACAATATGTTCCATCTAGAAAATTAGATAATTTTTCTATGCAATGAAATCAATTTACTACAAAGTGCATGAGACAATATTATCGACGTCTAACCAATTAATATTTTATGAAATTGTTTATATTGTTATCCACGATATATCATATCTCTATTGAATGTGAAAAACTTGTCCAGAGAATAAAAATACACACGGAATGCTAACTGGAAATTCATATCTAGGAGACTTGAAGAGTTTCCTCTGTATCAATCCAATCAACATTATTTAAAAGGTAGGTTAGACATTGGTAATAGTTATTTTCCAAAAGCCTAAGACATGAACGATAGAGAGCAACATTTATATATGATAGCACATTCCAATATACTCCTGTTTGTATATTGTTGAGGTTAAAACAAAAATATTTCAAATTCACAATAATCATGTACCTTCTTAAGTTTAAGAAAAATGGCAAGAAAATAAGGGAATTCCATGGAAATTAAAAATATCACGAGATGAACTTCTGCAATTCTCTCATTCATTATATCAGAAGAAAAATACCCCAATAAAAAATCAGCAAAATAAAACAAGGGGGCATTAATCCGAAGAAGCAATGAAAGACGTACCAATAATTCAATTCAATGTCGAGCAGTTTCCAGAAATTGATGTCCAAAATTTAAGCAGCCCAAGCAGAATCGAAAGCAATAGGAATTAAAATCTGAGGAACAAGAAATTCACATGATCTCCCCTGTCATAAATAGCAAAAGCATTCAACTGTATATTCACATCATCTTCCCTATCACAAGCAAGAATGAAAATCTTGATGAAAACTTAAAAGCCGGGCAAAAGGATTTCACCTCATTTCCAACATGATGATATGTTGGGTTCAGCATTCCCCCCTTTCCCCTGTTTCGGACCAAACCCTGCTGATAAGGCCAACTGTCTAAGTATCTCAGGCCATGTTAAAGGATTTAATTGTTGCTGTCAGATGCATATGTCAAAACCCGAAGCATATGCCTGATAAAGAGTGCCAACAACACAGCTTGATGGTGAATAAAGAACCATATAAGAAACATGGATAAACTTTAAGAGCAGTAATAACCACCAACGAGCCTCACCCCTTCAATTATTCGCAGATGGCCAACAATTCTCTGTGCCTGTAAAGGAGTTTATGTTCTAGAACAACAACGTGTACTTCACCCAATAATCTCAGAACTTCCATAACAACCATAAAAAATGAAGTATTGGCTGAGCATTGCAATAATTCTCCGTGCCTGCAATGCAATACCAGTTTTAGCTTCAAAATACCTTGAAAAATTACACGGTGTTCGGCCATTACAAATGATCATCATGGTAGCTCTACCTTACCAGATATCTCTCCGAACTTTTCTGCACGTTCAATCAGGTGAGACTTAGCAGACTTGAAATCCTCATTTTCCAAAGCCGATGTTCCAGTTACATACCGCATGAACAAATCACAGCCAGCAGTCAATGATATTGGAGGTGTATCCCATGACCGAGGAAATAAACAGACAGATGAAATGAATTAGAAGTTATTCATTACCTGTCAACTGAAAGCATGCAAAGAACATCCATTCTTTGTATGAACTATTTTCTATATAAAAAAAAAAATTGTACACCACCTCGATTTCGTACATAATTCATTTCCTAAAAAATGCATCCATCTACTTATAGTTCAAGTACCCTCATGGTCGTGCACCCACTTAGACACAACTTGCAGACCGAGGCATATAAGATGATCCAAACGAATAACGAGAACATCCAGAGTAAAACGCAAAACGGATAACGATCACATCAAGTGAAACATTGTAGGGGCAATAAATGATAAGTATCACAAGGCAGATTCAAAAGTCAGGTTACAGATAAAGAAAATTTTAAGACAAGAACTTATGTGATCGTGAAAAGCTGAAGAAACTCATCAAGAGTAAAAGGCCAAAGGCCAAGAACTACCACGCCTAGAAATACACATAGCAGTTCAACATTCATATCATAGATCATTTCCTACACAAATATTCATTTTTCTGAACGGTTTCTTCAGGTCAATTTTCTCAAGTAAGTTAACTTCAAAATAGAAAATCAAATAACTACAAAAAAGGTAACTTAAATTGGCAGCAAAACAATCTCACAAATTCCACTCTCAATCAATGCTAAAAGAACGAAAACAAATAGAACACCTAAATTAAAGGCCACAAGTAATCACGTGTAAAAAGGTAAACAAGTTATTCTCGGTCACTTCGTGCAAGGGGAAGAACATTCTTGATAGTCAATGAATTTAAACAATAAAGGAAGTTAATAGAAACATGAACCTTTAAATAACTCCAGATTTTGTAAAGAGACATGATTGAAGGTAACCCTTGCTTGACACAGCGAACTCCATGAGTTCCAGGTGTTCATCCTCTGATTCCTTAGCCATTGGGCGAGCAACGACCCTCTGATTGGCAGCTTTTTTAAGTCTTGCTACTTATCTTTTCCTGCACAGTGCTTCCTTTTGTCTAATTCTCTCAAACTATATAGATATACATTTTGGGGAAGTAAATCACTTAACTAATAAAAGAAGCAGAATACAATTAGATATTACTTGAATGTTAGCAGGAAAATTTTGGTTATTTCATACAATTAGATATTCCACTGATTTAGACTAACAATATATCGTATCTCTGTGAAAGCTTGTTCTTTATATGGTCATGTTTTCCAGAGAATGAACAGTTTTGTCTAGACCGATCCAACCAACAGGGAGGTTGACATGGTGATAGTTATTTTTCAAAAGACTAAGACATGAACGACAGAGCAAACATTTATATATCATAGCACATTACAATATACTCCTGCGTTACAAGGCAGATTCAAAAGTCAGGTTACAGATAAAGAAAATTTTAAGACAATAACAGTTAGAAGAACTTCCACGCCTAGAAATACACATAACAGTTCGACATTCATATAATAGATAATGTCCTACACTGAACAGTTTCTTCATGTCGTTCAGAATCTTCATGTCAATTTTCTAAAGTAAGTGAACTTCAAAATAGAAAACAAAATAATTTAAAAAAAGGTACAGTAACTTAATTTCCACTCTCAATCGATGCTAAAAGAATTAAAACAAATAGAACACATAAATTAAAGTCCACAAGTAATCACGTGTAAATAGGTAAACAGGTTATTCAGGTCACTTGGTGCAAGGGAAGAACATTCTTGATACTCAACGAATTTAAACAAAAAGGAAGTTAATAGAAACACGAACCTTTTAAATAACTCCAGATATTGTAAAGTTTCGTGATGAAGAGACATTATTGACGGTAATCCCTTGCTGGACAGAGCGAACTCCATGAGTTCCAGGCGTTCATCCTCCTCAGCAAGTTCCGTTGATTCCTTAGCCATTTGGCGAGCAATGGCCCTCTGATTGCAGTTTTAAGTCTTGCTGCTTCTCTTTCCCTGCGCAGTGCTAGACTATATCAGTTTATGTAAGAAGGAGAAGAAGAGGATCAAACTAACCGTAAGAAGAAGAAGAGGAAGATCAAACGGAGGAGAAGAAGGCCAATGTGACCGTTGCGGAAATCGCAAACACTCCTCTGCTCTTTTTCAATTCCAAAGCTGGAAGAATGGCTAATTTATAGACCTAATTTGTGTTTTTTTTTTTCTTTTATTTAATTCTTTCATTTTCATTCTTTTTATTTAATCAAAATTCAAAGCTAAAAGCCCAAATATTAACTCATGATATTTGGAGAATATATTTAAATATTATAATCGGTTAATTTTTTTTTTCCTTTATTTTTTTTGTGTTATTAGTAGTATATTTTATCTAAGAATTTTTTTTTTAAAGTTGTTAGTAATATATTTTATCTAAAGATTTGATTATCCGTATATCTTATTTTATTTACAAGATTTAATTAGTTATATATTTTTTTCTTATAGGTATGAGCGGACATGTTTTCTTTTTATTTATTTATTTCTTTCTTTTCAATAATTTTTTTTAATTGATAAATTTCAATCTCCAATATAATTTAGATTAAAAAAAAAAGATAAAACATAATAATAGATCAAAAAATTATTAAAAAAAAGTTATAAAATGTTATATTAAGTTCAACCTTATTTATAAAAACACACCATTTAAAAATATCTACGAAAACATGTAAATTAAAATTGGATATTTAAAATTATAAAAACTAAAATAAAATTATAGTGGGAGGACGAGATTTAAATTTTAATTTAAATTTTATTTATTTAAAAAAATATACAAGACTGATGATGAAATTATCAATATAGTAATTAATATCTTATTTATTTAAAAACATTTTAAAATTTTTAAAAATGTTTCAAAAATAACTTTAAACTTTGAATATTATTTAAAAATTATTATCTTTAAAAAAGTTTCATTATTATTTTTTAAATAAAAAATATTAAAGGTTTCATTACTGAAGAAAAAAAAACATTTATTGATAATTTTCGAATATTTTCATATTATTTTGGAGAATTCATTTTAATCCATAGAAGTTTAAAAGTGTTTTTGAAATTTTTTAAAAGAAAAATTAATGAAAATTTTTAAATAAAATATTAATCGTCTCCGTCCAATATTACTTATAGTATATTTTGTAATTCCTTTTTAAAATTAAAATTTAATTTAATATAATTTATTATTATTGTTGTTATTATTATTATTTTTAGTTTAGGAGTGTTGTGGTAATTTTTTTTTAAGATAAAATGTAAGTTTTTTTTATTTGTTTCATTTTTTTTATTATTATTAGTTTAGTAAGAAAAATAAATTAAATCCAGACATCGCGGTTTCTTGATCCTTCGGGCATGAACGCAATGTGTGCAACTCCCCTGAGTTCTTCAGCTAATCTCTAACTAACTCTAGCTTCTGCTTCTAGCGGGGAAGACGTAGCACAATTCGTAGCCACCGATCAAAACCCATTTCTTAAATCCCACTATTTCTTCGAGTCTCAATCTATAATTCTCCAAATCCGCAACCAAAATCGATAAAAGTTCATGTCATTGCCTGGCAGTTCGTTTGATCTTTGAATTCAGAGTAAATTGCTCACAGAATTCGATTGAAGCAAAGCTATGCTTGCCAGAAGGCGTTTAGCGGAGCTGATAATCGGTTTCAATTCGGAAACTAGGAGAAGAAGAAGCCGATTGTTGTCGAGCAATTCAGGGAAGAGATTTGCAGCGGTTTGGGGAAATGGAGATTTCGGGAGGCTGGGGCTTGGAAATTTGGATTCTCAGTGGAGGCCTGTTGCGTGTTCTTCCTTTGATCGCGAAATTCTCAAGGATATTGCATGTGGTGGTGCTCACACTCTGTTCTTAACAGGTCTTAAACTTCTCTTCTTTCGAATTTTGCGGCTTATATGAGATTGTTTATGGGATTTGTAGTGTTTTGTATCTGTATCTATTTGAGGGACATTGTGTTACGTTTCGAGTCCCGCAGATGTTGAGAGCAATCTCCTATGTTTTGTTGGTGAAAATTGTGAAGATGTCAGCTGTGTTCGAGTAAAAGCTCACAAATTATCCCCCTACTTTGGCAGAATCTGGACGTGTTTATGCTACTGGTCTTAATAATCTTGGGCAGCTGGGAATCCTCGAGGAACAAGGCTATTGTACTGTATGTTTTCTCCCACTCGATCACCATTATCTATGTGTGATAGTTTTTAGTATCGATATTCTGCGCCTGAAGTAATGGTTGATCCTTAAGTCTTTGTTTTAGCTTTATCTTGTTGAACACAACTCTATTAACACCAACCAATCGAGAAGAGATTACAAGACACTCAGTGCTTTTGATTTCTTGGGATGAAAACCTTGGTAGGTTGGAGGGGTATTTGTAGTAGAGGTTCAACAATTTATTCCTAAAATATCTAACTATTTATTCATAAAATACCTTAATTTTTTTTCTGAAAAAAGTAGGTATCTTTATTTTTAGAATACCTAAATCATTTTCGTAAAATACATAGACAACGAGTTCATACAATTATTGGGCTAGTGATGATATTTTAACATATCTTTCCATCTTTCTTAATGTGGTCTCATGTTTCTGGGTTTTACTTGTATTTTTTTAATTTTTCTTTTTGTAAAGACACTTTAATTATCACTTATCAGCATGGCGTCTCGGTGCAGGAGCCTGTTGAAGTTAGAATTCAGAAAGAAGCTGTTCATATCGCAGCTGGTTATAATCACTCTTGTGTCGTTACAGGTTTGCTCTACATTCCACTTGATTCGAGCGAAGACTAGCCTTGAACTTCATTCAGAAGTAATTTGTAATGGTTTGCTAAAGACCATAGTTAGCAACTTGTTGAAGATAGGACACAGATGAATTTGCTTTATTGAATGGGAAGAGTTGTCATAGTTAGCTTTTTGTTGGGTAGGGCTCAAAAGATAGGACACAAATGAATTAAGTTTTGGTCCTAATATAATCTCAATTGGTTATTAGATGTAATTGGCTGATTATTTTTTATATCACAATACAAAATATCATATCCTGCACATTTCATAAAGTTCATATTGCATCCGTTCCAATAGCATAGTTGGATCTTATGCCTCAATTCTTCTAGAGCTATTTTGAGGAAAGTCAACTCTATAGGAACAGAAGCATTTTGGAAGAGGTTGATAGATAGATGTTCTGGAAATATTTTGGACATTGTGGGTTTTGTCTCCCTGTGGTCTTTTTTCAGTAAGAACTTTTGTAATTATAATTTTTCCACCATTTATCTAAACCGAAGCGATATTTTTGTATTCCTATGATATATATTTTAAATTGTTGTCTTTTGTATATTTCTTTGGAAGTTCAAATGTCATACCAAATTTAAAGAATTATTGTTACATTAAGTTCTTCAAAACGTTCTTTGATATCCTTCGGATAAAAGCATCTAGGTAAAGTATTATTATACAACATGCACTAAAAATCGACTGGCATCTCTGGGCAATAATCTTATCCGAGCAACTCATTCTTCATATAACTTAACTGCTTCTGGAAATTGCGAATACTATTAATTTTCTGATGTATTACTCAAAAAGGAATTAAGCAATAACTTTTCTTCTCTAGCTTCATTTGTTGACTTTATATTTTAATTCTTTATAGCTGATGGAGAACTGTATATGTGGGGGATGAATTCAAGTGGGCAGCTTGGTCTTGGAAAGAGTAAGCACTAGATTCTGAAAATTTTGTCTTACACTGTATATGTGGGGGATGAATTCTTATGCAAATTAATGTTTTTGTAGGACAGGTTGTTAGACAATGGAATATGAAAGAATGAAATAGCCTAATCTTCTTAGTTTTTCTTTTTCGTTAATGGGTTAGGGTGGGGTTGTGAATTTATTCGGTACAACGTGGTTGTTCCCTTTGTAAGTCATAATGTTATTTGTTTTTAGTAGATAATCATGAATATTAGTTGTCCATCTATAACCAGTCGATAATTGTGTTATCATTGTTTTGCAATTCTATTTATTTGTTGTGGTTGTCCCCCTGGAGGTGGACCTTGTATTTCTTTCCTTGTTTGAAAGAGAAGATAGTGATAGACCCCTATTGCGAAGCTTTATTGTCGTTATGTGTTGGTAACTCCGAAAACAAAGCATGTTGACTAGGAGATATTTTAGAGGGACTCAAGGAACCTAGTTACTTAGTAACTTCTAAAACAAAGCATATTGACTTGGAGAAGTTCATCTTATGGCTCAAAATCCAATTATATGTCATAAGGAAAGGTATTTTGGTCGATGAATATTTCATACAGGAAATGACTGATGCAGGTGTAATATGTATTATTTATCTTTTGACAATAGATTAAAATGCCGATTGCTTAACTATCGTACTTTCGAAAGGGTTGTTTTCCATTTTTTTTTTGGTCATTATAATTACGATTATTAGTTGTCTATATTTATGTCTCTATGGTTATGCTACAACGACGCGCTAATAATTTTCTTTGCTAATTTTTAGTTAGTCTTTCATGACAGGAATAGATAAATACTAATTTTCTCCATCTCAAACTCGGTTGTACTGTTATACAGGGTCAGCGAAATCCGTATGCCTACCTACTAAAGTAAATAGCTTAGATGGGATCGTGATTAGGAGGGCTGCTTTAGGTTCAGACCACTCGATGGCTGTTACTGGTATAAATATCCTACCACATTTCAGTTTAGTAGTTTTACCGTTTTCATGGCGTTTCAGTGAATTTGTGATATTATATTTTTCTCGATGTTTATATTTTTCTTTTCACCAGATGGAGGTAAAGTCTTAAGTTGGGGAGATGGACGATCAGGAAGATTGGGTCATGGCCACGAGTCATCATTATTGGGGTTTTTAAAAAGCACCAGGTACTGTTAGATTCATACTGATCTGTGATCCCTTCTTCCTTTCTCATTTCCCCTACAGAAAAATAAAAGAAGAATAAATCGGCGTTTGACCAAACATTTTTTGAGCATATAGGTGTATAAACTTATCGACTTTGAATCTTCTCATCTAGATTCATGATGCATCATAGCATTCTTTGTTTCTTGTGTTCTTATGACATGTATATTTTTTTTGTAGCGAATATACGCCCAGGCTAATTAAAGAACTTGAGGGGATTAAGGTAATCTTTCCATAGTGAGCTTTCATCCATCATCTTTAGGTTGCCAATTTTTTTAAAAACTTTTTTTTTTCAGGTTAAACGGATTGCTGCAGGGATGCTGCACTCAGCATGTGTAGATGGTTGTTTTTTTTCTTTCTAAATTCTTCTATGGCAAATGTCTGTTTCATTGTTGCTTCTTTTGGCACATTGTTTTGCTAATGTTTAACAAACTTAGCAGAAAATGGAGCTGTTTTCATATTTGGTGAGAGAGCAACAAACAGAGTGGCAAGTTCCAATTTTATGTTTGTCGAGTAAAGCTACATTTTGCTTGATGTTCTTGCATTTAAATTATTAATGGTATGATACAGAGCTTTGGTGATGCAAACAAGGAAACAACACCATCAATGATCAGCACGCTTTTGAACTGCGAAGAAGTTTCCTGTGGTGGTTATCACACGTGTGTCCTAACAAGTAACTTTATCCTTTTTTATTATTTCGAGAGTTGTAATCATTCCTGCCACTGATGTGTAACTTCAGATTTTTTCTTTTATCTGAGCAAATTATATATAAAGGTCGTCATAAATGACTTAGTATAGTTTGTCTGATATCTTTGCTGTATTCTTCTATGGTTTCATTATGACAACAATAAAGCGAAGTAGCCGGTGTTCTTAGTATGTACATGTTATGTGACAGCCGTGTGCATACAGAACGATCTAATTTTCACAATGGGGTGCTCATCCTCGGTTTTAATGATGGATGACTATATGATTTCTAAGTCAAGACATGTAGTACTTGAGATTCTGAACATGGCCTCATCTTTGACCTTTTTGTTTCTTGTTGTAGAAGGTGGGGACCTGTACAGTTGGGGTTCGAATGAGAATGGCTGTCTCGGGAATGGGTATGCCTCGCTGCAATAATATTCTGTAGTTTGGACCTCTTTTCTAATTTTGAAGGCTCGCCGACTAAAATATTGTGTTCGTGATATCTGGTTATTCAGGTCCACGAGTGTCTTTCATCTCCCCGAAAAAGTCGAAGGTCCCTTTTCAAAATCTCCCGTAAGCAAGGTTGGAGTTTTATGGTCTTCCATCAGGATTACTTGAATGATTTTATCATTTGGAGACAACTTCAATTTTATCTAGTTTGAAAACTACCTCGTAGTTTCTTTCTACCTATATTTTTTATTGTCTGAAAAGGGCAAAATAAAGAGAAAATTTTCATATGTGTGCTAAGGACAAAATGCCAAAAGAAAATTTTTATTGTCTGACTTGTTTGATGTTTTTTATATTCATCCTGTTCAATGTATTTAACAATCATATTTCACAGGTATCTTGTGGATGGAAACATACAGCAGCAATCTCAGGTAATAATATTTCAGCGGTCACCAAAGAAAACTATTTTGTATTTTCCTTGCAATATTAAAGGTAAAATTTGGTAAGTTTGTTGTTGAATCAGGTGGTGCCATTTTCACGTGGGGCTGGGGAGGTTCCCACGGAACGTTTTCGGTGGATGGCCATTCGTCTGGGGGTCAGCTGGTATGCTTCTCTTGCATTTATTTTCTTGTTATCTATGCTGCTCATTTGGATTTACTATGCTGCTCATTTGGATTTACTATGCTGCTCATTTGGATTTACTATGCTGCTCATTTGGATTTACTATGCTGCTCATTTGGATTTACTATGCTGCTCAATTGGATTTACTGCTGGATTTGTTTAGAGTTGGTCGACATTTAATGTGTATGCTTGAAATCTACGGTTTTGTTAGACAATCTATTGCCGTTGGAGATGGTTTCATTTGAAAATACTAATGACAGGCACATGGTTCAGTGGCATTGGATCTCTGCCCTGAACGTACTTATTCTTTATATGATCAAACGATCACTTCTCTCATTCATTAGTTCAAGTACAAAGAAATTATTTACCGAAGGTTTCGAGATTTAACTGTGTTCTTATACCTCTTCTAGCCCATGTTATATGTTTCAATCTTGTTCGAAACGTCCATTTGATAGCTATTTTTGTCTTCAGTTTTCAGTTGGTATAGAATAGATTTGTGTAGCTCTCCATTTTGTTCTTTATTTGGGTGTTTTTCTCGTTAAGAAAAGGAACTATTTGCTTTTTCATGTCGAATTCTGTGACCACACCCAAGCCTACAGCTAGCCGATATTGTCCTTTTTGGGTTTTTCCTTTCGGGTTTCCCCTCAAGGTTTTTAAAATGCATCTGTTAGGGAGAAGTATCCACACCCTTATAAAAAATGTTTCATTCTCCTCCCCAATTGACGTGGGATTTCACAATCTACCCCCCTTTGGGGCCCAGCATCTTCGCTGACACTCGTTCCCTTGTGTCCACCCCCCTTCAGAGCTCAGCCTCCTCGCTGACTTATTGCATGGTGTCTGGCTCTGATACCATTTGTAACAGTCCAAGCCTACTGCTAGTAGATATTGTTCTCTTTGAATTTTTCCTTTCGAATTTTCCCTCAAAGTTTTTAAAACGCGTCTGCTAGAAAGAGGTTTCCACACCTTTATAAAAAATGTTTCGTTCTCCTCCTCAATCGATGTGGGATCTCACAAATTCTAAATTTAAGATTTCAGCCACCTACAATATTTGGTCCGAGACAACATTTAGGACAATCTTGAATGGTTTATACCCATAAAGGATCTGGTTTAATTGTAGGGACATGGAAGCGACGTTGACTATGTGAAACCGACAATGATCGACCTCGGAGAGAATGTGAAGGCAGTACAAGTCTCCTGTGGGTTCAACCACACTGGTGCGATACTCGAGTACATGTGAGAGTTTCAAAATTTGACCACACCAGTACAATAGTAAAGAGGCTGTGTTCATAATTTTCGAGTCGAAATTATAATATGTTCGTTCATGTATATAATAAATACATCATTTCCTGTTTAAGGCAAATAAAACTGTAAACTCTATATATGTCATGCTTCTGGTGTGATGAGAGTGATGCCCAAATCTTAGGATATTTATTCAAACATTCAATTTGGCATTGTTCTTTGCAGCTCTAAGTTCATAATGTTCGTCACATATTCTCTCATTTACTTGACATTTAAGCATTATGTTCTATTTATTTTCTGAGTTTGATATGAAGATTCATTTTTATTCTTCTAATTGTGACATATATTTGGATTACTCTATAATAGAGCGTTTTGTAGTTCCAATATCCTATCTATATCACCCTCTTTTCGAGAAGCTCTCGGAAAAAGCTCGAGAAATCTATGGCTACCAAACCAATGGCCCGCTTTGGCTTCCATGCTTGGTCGATGACTTTCTCTAGCTCAAGTGGCAGCTCGAGAAAGAATCCAATCAAACACAACCACAAACAGAATAATCATCACCATCATCACCACCACCACCACCACTACCATCTTCCATTTGTTTTGTCCCGACACTTTTTTTCTTCCAGATTTGTCATAACTTAATGAAAAGATAACTTATTGACTAGGTCACTCTTGTTCAGTTCGTCTTGTTCTTCATCCTTGATGAAAGACATTGTAAGCGAAGTAGTCAGTGGTCTTGGTGTCGATACAAAACATCTCGTTCTTTCTAAACTTTCTTAATAACGTTAATTGTCACGTCACTTTTTGACTAAGCTAACAAATGGTTGACTCAACTCACAGACTGAGCTAACGAACTTCAACTTGTTGATTTGAAATTCAGTTGATTTGAAATTCAAATATACCTAAAAGGGTTTGTCTAAAAAGGTTCGATGGTAGTATTTTTACTTAAAAGGGTTTAAAAAGGTTCGATCTCGTATAGCTCGAAACAAATTTAGCCTATAAATTTTATACATATATATATATGATCTTCATCACTAAATTTAATCAACTCGAACACAATTTAGTCGATAGCTTATTTGGAAGTACATTTTTATTTACTAAAAAATAACATTTTAATATTACTTGAAGGTTCTGATTCATTTATCTGTAAAGGGAAAGCTGAAAGTGTAAGGGTAAATAGGGTTATTCATAGGCATTTGACCTTATCACCTTTTATATTAAGATTACCTTTTCTTATTTAGTCTATAACTCCTAATTCAAAATCACACCTAAAGAAATTTGTTCTAAATTAATAAAAAAAAATACACTTATAATTTTTCTAAAAAATATTTGTTACAAAGTTTAGTTAATAGTATTTCATTAATACCTTCGACGTTTTAAAAAAGTTAAAAGATACTTTCTGTTAGTACTACGTTTAAAAAATATCCATAAAATTTAAAAAGTAGCATTAACTCCATTTACATTTATAAAGGAGTTCACAACAATTCTTGTCGTTAATATACGGACTAAAATTGTCTATTGACATCTCATAAATTATCTCCAAACTTTTTTATATTACTTTTGAAAGTTCATGAGTATTTTTTAAACATGTTACCAACCGTAAGAGTAATTTTTATTTTTTTTTATAAAAAGTTGATGTTTTTCAAAAAGTTTATAAGTATTTTTGAAGTTTTTTAAAAAAGTTTAAGGACGTTAATAAAAAATTTTAAAATTTAATAATATGAATAATATATTGAACAAAGGTGTATAAAAATTCTAAAATATATTGAGATTTCGGAAAGAAATGTGCAGTTTGTCTATTTTAGTTTAAATTATAAATTTAATACAAAGGTTTAATTTATGTTTATTTGGTCTCTAAAATTTAAAGAAAAAAAAAAACTTACACTAAATTATTAAATTTATAAATTTGTTTCTAATAAAAGATTCTTAAATTTATAATTTTGTGCGATGTTCTGTTAATATTATATTAGGGGTATATTTGGAATTTTAAATTTGTAAAAGGATAAATAAATCATTAGAATTCTTCTATTAATAAAGAAAAAATGTTGGATTTATTTCCCTTATAACTTTGATCAATCTGTTTTTTTTTTTTTAAATTTAAAATGCATTATTGTCATTTATTTAATTATAGAGTAATTTTTAGTGTGAATAATAATTATTGATTAATTTGTGATATAACATTAAAAAAACATTATACACTCGTAAGGAATGTTTTGTTCCCTCCCAACCAAGTTGGAATCTCATAATTCACTCCCGGGAGAATCTAGCGTCCTCGCTGGTGTATTGCCCAGTGTTTAACATTGATTCCATTTATCAATATAAATCTCCAAAATTTTTAATTTTATCGATTTCAACTTGATTCTCTAATCATTATAAGCATATTTTTCTAAAATTCGGGGGCGTTACAAAAAAATATCAATAAATATTTACGACTTGATTGAAATTAACAGTGAGCTATCGGGTATTTTAAGAATTATGAAAAAGTAGATCGATTTAGTCGTTTTAGTTATTCTCCATTTGGTAGATGATATTTTAGTAGCGTGTTTTCAAATAATTTCTTGAACTTTCTTGGTTCGGACTTAGTTTGAGAGCGGGTGGTGCTCGTTCGAAATATTTCAACAAAAAAAACGAAACAAAAACAAAAATAAAGGGCTAGAGTTGGCAATGCATGCTAAACCATCCACCAACATTTGTTTGCTATTCTTGAAAACCACACAATTTCCTGTTACTAATAAGGAAAAAGGAAAAGGAAAACAAACAATTTCTTTGTCTTTTCTCCTCTCTTCCCTTTCCAATTTTCCCTTTTTCTTCATCTCTTCTCAATTTCTTCAACATTTTAACCTCAAACCCATGGAGTTTGCATAAAAACAAAATACGTCTTTCTGTTCGTTTAGTGTTCCAATCAAGAGACTCGGGTTTGTGTTCGTTCTCCCATTTGTGCACTCGGGTTTGTGTTCGTTCTCCCATTTGTGCACTTTCTACGTTATTACCTTTCATTTTGGGAAGAATACTTATAAATGGTAAATTTTTTCATAGTAAGACGTCCCGTATTGGAATCTCTTGATTGTCGCCAACGGATCAAATTGATATTCAAACCCATTTCATATTTGATTGAATTTTATGGTACATTGTGTTGGAACCATGTTGGGTCGTGTGCTGAAAGTTCAAACCCTAATAATTTAGGTTTGAGAATTAGTTTTATAGAACCGGGAAAAAAATATAATTTTGAATTTGGTGATTTGAATTAAAAAAAAAAACGTGTTGGCCATTAACAATTCTTGTTCATGGCTCCAACTACTTGGAAGAAACTGATTTCATCTATTTCTTGAATTGAATATGTTTGATTATATGAAAAACCATGTTGGATTTCATTCTTTGTCGGAATCTGATCGGAGATCGCGATTTGCTGCAGCCATTAATGTGGTCTAAGTCCGATAATAAACCGGACGGATCTGAGGTACATGCGTATGTAAATTCGATCAATATTCGGAGTTTTATCAGAATGAAATAGGGCTCGATCATGCATGAGATTGTTGAATTAGATATGTTTTACATGATTATGAAAATTATTGATGATCATCGTCTTGAATTCAGATATTTAGCAACTCATCAAAAGGGGAAAACGATTGTCACGGAGGAATGAACGTAAACGCACCAAATTTCGTGAAAAATCCTCCGGATTCTCTCAGAAGAATCGATCAAATCGCCAAAAACGGCATAAATTCCGGGAATCAGACGGCGACGATGAACCACGAGTTTCATTCCGGGCAGGCAGGGGGGTCGATTGCGCCGATTCCGAGCGGTGCACCTGCAACAAACATGAAGAACATCAACAATAACAACAACTCTACTTTCTTTCCGACGAAGAGCGGCTGCGATGGCATGGAGACGCTAGGAATGGTGATTAAACCGCACACAGGCGGGGATGTGCGATGGGACGCTGTGAACATGGTGTCGAAAGGAGGCCAGTTGAATCTGAGCCATTTCAGGCTTCTGAAGCGGCTTGGTTATGGCGATATCGGAAGTGTTTATCTGGTGGAATTGAGAGGAACTGATACGTTTTTCGCCATGAAAGTTATGGACAAAG